AAAAAAAAAAAAAAAAAGAAAAAAAGAAAATTTGAATAAAATATGAACTTTAGTTAACAAGAAAGTGTCAAAATTGGTTCAATAGTTGTAACAAATATACCATACAAGTGTAAGATGTTAATAATCGGAAACTGGGTGTGTGTTATATGGAATCTCTGTACTGTCTTCACAATTTTTTTGTAAATCTAAAACTATGATAATGTTAATGTTTATTAAAAACAAAAAGAAATTCTGAATCACAACACTAAGGTAAGGTCCAATCATTTACATTTTCTTTCTAGAGATGGAGTCTCACTACGTTGCACAGGCTGGAGTGCAGTGGCTATTCATAGGTGTGATCTGTGATTGTGCATTAGTACCTCGAACTCCTGGGCTCAAGCAATCTTCCTGCCTAGCTTCCTGAGTAGCTGGGACTACAGGCACACACCATCAGACCCAGCCAGTAATTTACATATCTAACTAGCACTCGTTTCCCAATTCCTTTGCTTCTGGTGGGTGGCCACAAGCCCGTTCCAAAGTCAGCTCCCAATCTGGCCTTCAGTCTAAAGTAGACCAACTGTGAGGCTGTCTGACCACAAAGTTCACCAATTAACATTGTTACAGGTATTTGCAAAGTAGGTCATCTCAGCCTCTGTTCATCTGCGTTTTTAGTGATTAGTCAGAGGAACAGGTAACCCTATTTCAGATCACCAGCAGGAAAAGGCGTGGTAGAATAGAAAAGTAGATAGCTGATTTCCATTGGGGGAGTAACGCCCATTTTAATGGGTGTCAAACAGCTTAGTCACTTTTGTTTTGTTTATGCTGCTCCCTCTTCAAGTACGACTTCCTTGGGCTCCATATCAGATTAAAGAAATCAAGTGCCAAAGCACTACCTCACAAAATGAGTTGCTGAAGACTTCCATGATAAATAAGGTTGTTCCTGAGCCCCTGTTTCCAATAGTCATTTCTCCAGTCTTAATCCTAAGCAAGTCACATCCCTAATGCTTTGTCTGTTCCCTTGTATATATAACATTGGTGTCTCTTGTAGGTGAGAAGACTGTGGCATTGAAGAGGATACAGCACTGTTAAGTGATCCTAAAAATCTATGCATAACAGACTAATGATCCCTGGTAATTTGTGCAACTTTATAAAAATGCTCAGGATCCAGGAGAGAAAACCAGCAAGAAAAACAGGGCAGATCTCAGATACGGAAGGGCAAAGAATACTGCCAGGAACTAGGTTCTTTTGAAGACCCTGAAAAACATACAACCACAAATATCAGGTGATATTATTTTTCATCACATGGTCATTACCACATGGGGTGTGTGTGTGTGTGTGTGTGTGTGTGTGTGTGTGTGGTGTATCTCCATGGTTACCTTCTTTTGTCAGAACTATAATGCTTTTCTTTCTACCATACTCTAAGGACAGGAAAAGACTTCCTAATCTTTGGTGTTTACACCTATACCATATTTTTTTGTGTTCCCTGCTGCTGTGTTGCTCAGTCATAAGGGTCTCTTCATCTTTGTACAGTCCTGTTTGCTTAACCACTTGTATTATTATTCACAAAGCTTCCCTCCCCTTCATTCTCACTGTTCTGTTCAGAATCTAAAAGTAGAGAACTGATTTCACCATTAATTCATGATGACCTTAAGTGAGATCCATTGCTAATTAGGAACAATCATATCTGTGAAAAGCATATGCTTTGAACTCAAAAAACAACCACAACAGAAATTTCAACACCTGTTGTGTGCAGTGCACTGTGGGAATACAAGAAAGTTCCAGCTTTCAAAGAGCACTAAACTCTAGTACCATTAGATCTGGTTTCTAATCCTAGATCTGCCACTGACAGATTTTGTTAGTTTACACAAGTCAGCCTCGGCTTCAGTCTCTTCTCTGAAGAGGAGTTGGGCACATTGCAGCCACCTGCTTCAGCTGGCACAGGATCCACAGTTTTAGCAGTGAAAGTTCTGTGCCCCAGGAAGCTTCTCAATACTAGGTAAGGCCACATGATTAGACCCTCCACTGGACGGGCTATCTGAGATCCTTTTTGGCTCTGATTCTTTTGGGTCTCAGCTTCAGGTTCTTCTTAAGGCATGCTGTGTATGTCATCGGAGAGTGTGGACTGAATCACAGGGAGGGAGTGGAGTGGCTGTATCCAAATAACTTGAAAGGCATCCTGCCTCCTGACCTGTGACTCACATGGGATAATGCAGGACATCATTCCTAACATCTCACAGGAAGAGAAATCAGCTGAGAATGGTATATTCAGACAAGAGACATTGTTGGGTTTCCCAGTGGAAAAGAAATTCAAAAACAATTGACTAATGAGAGGAATGTGTAGCAAATGTTGAAGCTGCCAGAATTCTTGCAAGTGAGCCAATGACCTTTTAAGCTACATCCACAACTGACTAGTTTCTTGGCCATCATCCCAATGAAGGTTCCTTTCCCAGTTTAGACTGTATTGAGAACTGGCTTGGCAGTAAGGCTTTTAGCATCCTCAGATACAAATTTATTTCAGCATGAAATCAGTCTAATAAAGGCCTTAAAAAACAAAAAAAGACAGAATGAGTGACTGCCATGGCTGATATTGACAATGAATCTGTTGTCCTAATTTTTTATGACTTTCAAGAAAAGTATCCTTGGATGACTTGGATCAAGTGAAAGACAGCCTGAAACAAGGTCTTGAGCAGATCTGCAAGGGAGTTACAGTGGCTGCCAGCTGACCCAGAACTGACTCTGCAAGAGATGCAGCGTGCCACAGATTTCTACTTAATTTAGAGGCAAACTTTATAATCACCTTGAACATTTTTTGTGTGACTGGTTTCATTTTGGCTTTATGCCTAAGTCAGCTCTTATTTCAATCTCACCTCCTAGAATAAATTTGGCCCAATTAACTTCTTCTCAGCCATTCTTTTTTTTTTTTTTTTTTTTTTTTTTTTT